GCAAATACCGGTCCTGTTCGTAGCCGTAGGGCTGTCTCTCTCACGAGCCAGTTCATGTGGATTGCAATTGGAGGTAGGTGCAGTTCTATGTTTAGTGCCTCTGCTGCCGTTTGGAATGCTTCACTGATCAAGCACGCGGCCCGCTTCTGGATGCCCACGAACGGTTGGCTCATTCTGCGAGCCTTGGCCTTACTAACGAGCATAGGCTGATACCATGCTGACACTCCAAAATGCATCTGCGGGATAATCACCGCTTGATAGATTCTACGCATAGCCGAAGTAGAGGCCCCCCACGTTGAGCCTGCCAAGCTTTGTAACGCTTGGAGGGACACGTTTGCCTTTGCAATCGCCTTTTCGCGGTGGTGATGGAATTCCAGTCTGGAGTCCAGCCAGTTGCCGGGTAGCGTTCGGCTGTCCTTGTCGCTGATACTGTATGCCCCCGTAGAGATAGCGGCGTGTATTTTGGGTCGATCTCTCAAGTGTTCACGAAGTGCATGAGGGGCGTACTGTTTCGGGTCAAAGACAAGAGGCATGCGTTCTGGCCACTGATCGGCGTTTTGACATGCCGTTCTGAGTTTCTTAGTGATATCGCGCTCACTGTCTCCCTTGGCCATGAAGCAGACATCATCCACCCACCCAACCATTGCTGGTTATGCCGTTCCCGCAGTTCTCAATAAGATCTGCGTTGTAGAGGAGATAGATAATTGGCGAAATGGGCGATTCTTGCGGGATCCCTGTGAGTATCGGAATTTGATGGGAGATGCCCTCGCCCATACGAATTCTCGTGCTTCGATTAGACAGGAAGTGTTTCACCCAAGGGGCAAGTTGGCCTGGACGGCTTTGCCCACGGGGTTGACAGTTCGATTGCCGATTGAACAAGGTCGAGCAGTGTTCGGCATTGTGCCGCGATCTGCGGTGGGCCTGCCTCAGACAGGTCACTTGCTTCTAACCTCTGCTCGATTGTCTGAATCAGCTTTTTATTGTCAGTCGCTTTCCAGTTTCTCCGCTTCTGCTGTGTGGGTATAGGCGTGTTAATACCAAGCACTGTTCTGATCGGGAAGTGGTCGGGTGAGTGTTCAATGCCATACGCTCGCTCGCAGCGGACAAGTCTGCTGGTGAGGCACGGGCTGATGAAGATAAGGTCAATCACCGATGACTGGTCGTTTCGAGACCAGGTTGCTTCCTCTTCCTCGTTAAGCAATTCGAGGTCTTGTTCATCAGTAATCTCCAGAAGTTGCTCGGCTTCCTTGTCAACCTTGGTCCCTATTCTGCCCATCTTGGATGACGTGCGTTCATGTCTTCAGCACAACATGTTCTGCGTGAGGGCGTTTACCCATTTCATTTCCTAGCTGGGCCAAAGTATTGCTTCCTAGCCTGTTATACATGCTGTATACGATAAATCTGACCCCTTTCTACCCATGTGGGCTCTTATGAGCTTCAACAGCTGGTAGTCCTGTGAGATGAGTTGGCAAGACCAAGTGCCTGGGTCGATCTTCCTGGATACAAATAAACATACGCCCGGCTGGCGACGGTCTGAATCCTGGTTCTCATCCCCGCTTCGGTCTCCTTCGCGTTGTGTTTCCTTTGCTGGGTATAATAGTTGGAATGTTGCAGTTGCTGATTGGTGGGTCGTATGTTGCTGTTCGTTTCTCCACGGTTCCTGCACTGCGACGATGTCCGCTTCTAAGCCCTTTTTGCCTCTGAGAAACGTGGCCATCACCGACCACGACTTGTGTGCGTTGTATTGAAGCATTACGGTTTCATTGATGAGTAATTTCGTTATCACTGTGTTCACTGGTTTCGTGCCACACATCATCCATTGGGTCTTCTGTGGGTGCATCGGTTGTGATCGTAGGAGGAGAGGATCTGATTGGCACCGTTTGCATCCGGTTGTATCTGAAGATAACGATTTTATGGTATTCTGGGCTCTCCGGGTCCAGATTCTCTAGCTTGAAATATATCAAAAAAACCTTTGTTTTGGTCTAGAATGGTACATTGTCGGAAGATTAGGCGGTGGCATTTCCGCAAGGATCCGCGGGTTCATCCTCTTCGTCTCCGCAAATTTGGAGATCGGAGACCATAATACGATCACAAAATCCACGTGGAGCTCATGAGAGTCCTATGGTGCCCTCCGCGCGATAATGTGCGGAGCCCGGCGGATATGCAAGCACTACAAACATGCCTAGGTTGCTTTCGCCTGGTTCGTGTTACTTGGATGTCGAGTCGTGTAGCAGATAGCTCATCCCCATCTCATTCTCGTCCTCCTCTTCATCATCTTATCCATCGCTGATGGGCTCGTACTGATCGAGGTCTCTTGAGTGGGTAAAGAGAAGGTCGTTCTTGATCAATTGTAGCAGCCCCCCTGCTAAAGGAATTCCTTTGCCAAACCAACCTTTCCTTGTTTAATTTTGAACCTTGATGCGCATTGATGTATCATCAATTCTTTCTTAGTGTCTGACCCTAGCCGTGACCGGCGATAGAGACATATATCACGGGCACGGTTAAAAAGACGCGCCACGCCAGCGCCACCTGCAGGAATAGACAAAGCCCCACGAAAAGGCCCTAGTATGAGCAGAATTAACCCCTCAGATCTGCATGAATATTCCAAAAGGCCATTCAAGAGTACAAGCGCACTGATGTTTAGCAAACGACAAATCTTTTCCGAGATACCGTGCACCTTCGTCATCTTCGTCTTCGCCTGGCTCCAGCATCACACTGGTCTGGGAATCCAAATTGTTAGACAACTGTATTGTCCCAAGAAAGTTGGAGGTAGTCGAAGTTAATTTACAGACCAGACTGGACGTCGTGGTTGATACTGTTGCGATAAGATATTATCGTGTTGTGTGTCGAGCGAGAGCTCACGCCGGACGAATGGCGGACCCCCACAGTCATTCCTAGAAGACACGACTATTTATTATTGCCCAAGCTACCCCAAACCCGCGATAACCCAGTCCCACCCATAGAATGTCAACCTTAGGCGAGATATCTCTAATCATCGTTGGTAACCTATTCCATATTCTGATATTGAGACAAACAAACTGCCTTGCAAGCATATCGCCGCTTACAAATACCCAGCAATACACCATTGGGGCTACGCCAATCTTTCGGCAAAGGATGGGGTTCTTTCGCCACAAAACGCATTGAGCGAGGATCCCGAGTATTGAGCGAAAGCCACTCTTCGTTATCCCAAGGCCGCATACCGAAATCATGTAACCGCATGTTATAATGGTCTTTCGAAAACTACTACGCACCCAGAAAGAAAAGTTTCTACTTCTTCGGGACAATGGGTTGAGGGGTTTTCGAATTTTCAGTGAAGCCTTCGCCGAGAACTCTTCGACATCACGGCCTCAGATCCAAGCAAGCCTTCAGCCCATGGCCTATATCCTCTTCATTCCCATTTCAACCATTCCTGTATACCAAATCCAAAAATCTCCGTTACTAGCGATGAGGTCATCTCATCTTTTGCAACTCGGGACATCGACGCCGGTGAGGAAATCACATTTAGTTATAATACAGATTTTGAAGGCAGAACTACACGAATGACACGAAGCCTTGTGCTTTACGAGCAATTGCATCGCTTGTCTTCCAAGCACTCCATTTCAACGACTTAGCGACATGCGACGACGATTATTCCGAAGTTTGCAATACCTTACCTTCAGTGTTGACCTGAATGGGTAAATACAGGATGCTTATTGTCCAATAATAGTTGACTCCAAACTCAAGATTGCGGCGGAAACTTTCAGTATACCTGTTTCCTCTATGCTGACCTATATTCTCCTAACAATTTTCTTTGTCGGAAGAGGGCTTATTGGATGATTTTGTGGTCGGACGGCTACGGCCGGGTTTGATCAGAACGATAAGCTTGTTAAGGTCAGAGAGCAATTGTAGTATTGCTAGGCTCGCTATGAACCAGAAAAGCTAGCTGCAAAGTCTGATTGTGGTGTTCGAGCCGTATGGGCGAAAAGATGCTGCCGATCATGAGATTACCCTTGCATTACGGCAAATACGCCGATTATCTTCATAAAACCCGAGACGACGCAAGTTCATACACTCTTGTCCTGTGAAACAAGCAAGGGCCTTGATCCCGATTTCCTGTCCCATGCGGGTAAGTGGGATGCAGCGCAATCCAGTAGTAGGGTTCATTTACTATGGGAGTCCTTTATTAATAGACCAGTAGAGTTCCCGTCGGGGACCAGTAGACGCATAAATCCCTGCCCTGTTGGATCCCCTGTACCGATGGTATTGTCCTGTCACCCTGATACGCACTACTCATGCATTAGGGTTAGACCTGTATCTATACTGGAAAGACGCGCGCGGGGCGCGCATCTGCCCTGAAACGATGAAAAGAAGAGGTTGGTAAGTAAGTAAAGTGTAAATAAAGAGTTGAATCGGTGAGTCGTAAGTCACATGCATATTAAACAAGATAGACGAATAACTTAACGGAAGGCATCAGCATGACTAATACCCGGATCGTGGAGAACGAAAACGTGAAAAACAGGATTGAACTTGTTATGTAGAGACTTCAATTGTTATATTTAAGTCCAGCAACAGTTTAGGACGTTTTTCGTGGTCTTTGGGAACGTGTCCCTGGCGTAGGAGTATACGGTTGTGGTGAGGTTCGAGTATCATCAGATGTGTCTGGCCAAATTATTTGGGTTTCCTCCTCGTCGTCATTTAGAGCATCACTTTCAATCGGTTGGCCCGGAGGACCTTGTGTGGGTGTGGAGAGCTGGGAAAATGATGATTTTCTGATGTCTCGCCCGAGCGAAACGCTCGATCTGGAAACGATTTATGACTTGTCGAAGAGCATTTAGCTTCACGACTGCTGTTGGGGTTTGCAGATGAGGATCGGCTAGTGAAGTGATTACTTTCGAGCTCAACGTCAACATATCATCATTCGTGAGAGTGCCAGTCCTCGCTCGTGTTAGCAGATTTCGATACGGTAAGTCTTCTACCTGTCGCATTTGCTCATGGAGGATGATGACTTGCTTGAATTGGGATCAGATAAGTTTTCCGTCCTGATCGGTTTCATTCCTTGGGAGTTTCCACAAGGTTTGGCCCTGGACTGGCGGTAATCGGTAAAAATCTCCCATGAGAATAACCATGGGCAGACCACCGAAGAGGTCTGGAGAGGATCTATCAAGGTATCGCGCGATCTTGCAGTGGGTGTTGATAATGCTGAGTGCGGAGAGATCCACCATGCTTACCTCGTCTATGATCATAATTGTTTTTCGCGACCATAGCCTGCGGACCCTTGGTCCCACTCCGGTTCGTCGATACCGGTTTAAAGAAATCCCAAGGGATGTATGATATGTGCTTCCTCCAATGACATCGGCCGCTGCGCCTGTTGGGGCCATCAGGATGATCTCGTTCTTGCGGCGGATCAGATCCATCGCGGCGACAATCGCTTTGATTATCTGGCTCTTGCCCACTCCACCTTCACCTCCTACGTAGAGGAGGGTTTGTTTCCGCTGCGAAGAATCATACGGATGATTGGCGCAGATGAGTACTTCGGCCAGTACCCTTTCCACGGCGATGCGTTGTTTCTCATTTAGGGGGATGATCTCGCACACGAGTAAGGTTATTGAAGCGCCCGTCGGGTTTTGCCCCACTCTCAAGCGACGCTGCTGCAAGTCAGGGAGTGGATCTGAGTCCGTGAGCACGGGGACCAGGACGTCGTCGACGCCTTCAAGATTGAAGTCATCAAGGTCCTGTACGCAGACGGCTGATGTTTCGGCGTATGGATCTTGGTCCGTGAGCTTGGAAATGTTCTTAATATGATCTTGCCAGTTTTGCAGGATAGACGCCGGAAAGGATTTGAGACCAGAAGATTCATACAGCATATTGTCAGTCATGTGAAGATGTTGGAGTTTCTGCGGTCGGAGGGATAGAGGGAGAGAAGAAAATGAAGCGAGAGTGGTGATTCGGCACTGAGCGTCCTGCGCTTCCTTTATCCAACGTCGACTTATTGTAAAAATAGCAGCTAGAAGCGTTTCTTTACTCAGAGAATCATCTGCATTTTGTAAAAGATGCGGGGCCTCATTTTCCGAGTCAGAAGCAGGGTACTGATGATTAGCCAGTTCTTGGTCGACCGGGCACGCGTGTTGAGTAGACCGGCTGCGCAATATCGCATCAGCTTCGCAGTCACTTTTTGATTTGCGCACGAGTTCGATATTCTGTGCAAATGTACGAATATGTGCTGGAAGTGTTGGTTCAACAGACGTCCAGATTTCATGCAGAATGTCGTGTGTGGTTGCGGTTGTAGGCACTTGAGGGCATCGGGGTAGTGCTGGGCCTGACTACGACACTCCAGTATCCGACCCGCTGGCGATCCGCTACGTCGCCAAATTCATGCATCAAACCGGCCTGCTTGCTCAGTTTCAACACACTCAGCAGGAAGAGTCCGATGACGAAACTGGAGACCCCACTAAGGTCATGGAGCAGAGTCCCGAAGACGCTAGGTACTCACCACCGCTTGCGCCGACGTTTGAGGATGGAGAGAACCTCACTCAGCTATTCAAATACACGCTGCCGGACTGTACTCAGGCCCATGCTCGGCCTGACGCACGATAAGCAGCAATTGAAGCTGAAGTGAGGATGTCGGAGAACGGGGTTTGATCTTGCTGCAGCAAGAATTGGCTGTCATCGAGATCGAGAGGAGTTTATATGGGATGTGAGATAAGGACAGGGGAGGTGGACGGTGCATCCACGCATTCATTGTATACTCAGCGGCTTACAGCACTGAGACTCTCATTTGTATTGGGGGTTTGGGTTCACGGTTTTGATTTACATGTAGGGCTGGTGCTCTCTCTCGCTTCGAGACCAGCCTATTTTTCTGTACTGGAGCATGATCAGGCGTACGGGACACGAGTTCTTGCTTCAACTGGAAAGAAGCGCCTGCATAGCTATTCGATACTAGATAGGCTGCAACAGGTTAATAGAACTTTGATTTATTGATTATAGCAAAGATCCACTCCAGCTGAAAAATATTTGAGCCGCAACCACCTATTCTTGGCTTGAGAACTTCCGAACTTAGTTTTCTGCTGACGTGGCCTGCCCGCATCCGCGTAAATAAACCAGGACTTCACCTCCATCAATTTTTGATGCCGACTTTTCCACTACACCTGCATTGCCTCAAGAGAAACAGCCAGACGGCAATACATCATGGAGAGTCACTTTCCAAGTCTCTTGATTTACCAATTACTGCAAAGCAACATTTTAAACATTAACGTATTTCACTACCGAGCTGGACACACCACCGAGCTGGACACCCTAAAACACCATAGTAAATGCGATAAATTACAACTTAAAATCTCAACAAAGGTTTTCTATATGGAACTTTCCTAATAGCTTAATACTTTCTAGGTGATATATGGCCTCTTCAAGGACTTTAGAAAATATATACGACTTTGTGATTTGAGATATATATATTTCTGGCTTTCAGCAACGTAATTTTCAATACCATGATGATGCAGCTTTTCGATTTTCTTAAAACTAATATATAGTGTTTAAAATCCTTATCGATAGCTATCGAATAACGAAGAAATCAAACAACAACGTGCTTGCTGAGATATCAAGTTGTAATTTATCTCATTTACTATGGTGTTTTGGGGTGTCCAGCTCGGTGGTGTGTCCAGCTCGGTAGTGAAATACGTTATCAGAACAAGCTAATAGTTTACGAACTGGTATGCATTCAGGACGAATGAGATCATGCGAACCAATTCAAGATGAAAGGACTGATTGACTGAATAGGAAGTCATGCGATCGAGGGCATGGTGAATTACCCACGGGCCATGCGTCGATAATCGGTAATAACAACACCAGATTCCCAAATAGCCCAAATTGACTTACAATTTGCATGAGTGGATTTCCCCTGCGACCAGTCAACTGCTAGCGGTAAGTTACCGCTTTAAAGCTCTGACAAATGATCAAAATCCGAAAATAAAGTGCCGGGATTTCTCCATTTGGCTGTTTGAGGGCTCACAAGGATCTCATTCATTTTGCAAAGTTCCCCTTCCATTGCCGCCATGCCCTAGCGCACTATATCTATTGAAGATGGCCATTTCTCGCGTTGGGATTGTCTGAACAGCTCAAAGGCAAGTAAAACCATGTCCCTTTTGGCCAGAAGCATAGCTAATGGGTCCTGTGAAGTGGCTTGCTCGTATAGAGCAGCGCTGCGAACTTCGTCCTCAGTGAACCAGCAATGGTCGAGATGCTCATCACTGATCTCAACGGAACTTTGGCCGACCGGCTGTTTCATCTCGCTGGACCAGACTCGTTGCGCCATCGTCTCTTCATTGTCGATTATGATGAATCCGAGCGTGCGCATGAGGACTATATTGCCGGTTTTTCTATCCCTGTGATAGAAAGAACACGTGAAAGCATTGCCAGCAATTCTCGAAGGCCAAATTTGCGTCTCCTCCCCGTTTTTTCGGGCTGCGGAATGGATGATGGTCGGGTCCTCCTCGTCTGGAGTTCCTCCTCCTGTCTCCCAGGTATTACCCCATGAGCTTTCCTTGCCGTTTCGCTTAATCAACAAGACTCTTCGCTTGGATGGGCTATCTGGGTGGTAGGAAAACATGACAGCCATAGCTGTAGAGCGTTGAATGCCGGGAAACAGTTCTTTCAGACGATGGAGAGGAACGTTGATAATGGCTGCATTGATCGGCTCGGGAATGGAGTGGTACCCCAAAAGGAAACCGGCGTTTTTTATTCCAGTCGACATAGCTGAGTACGGGTAAAAAGGAATTTAGATATTGGAAGGAGCTTGTTTAATTCTTGTTTCTATTAAAGATATACAAAATCCATATCCCGTCTCAAGCGCTTTGGAACACGCCCAGATAAACGCCTCTGAGTAAATCTCCCTTCTTCCAAGTGGTTATTATCAGGTAGAGAAACCTCATCATTATCGTCAAATTCTATTGAATGATCCGATATACACACACACACAATTCATTAACGCCCGGCGGCTGAGCCAAAAGGGCAACTATCGCTAAACTACTATACATGTCTTAGTATATACAATTCTGTGACTCATTGGAGCCCATACACAAGACCTTGGCGTATTTGTCATTCTCAGCATGCAGTGTCGCAGCGGATGCTCGTGGGTTAGTAATGCGGTTAGTAGACTGGCTTGAAGGCGCTTCTCCAAGTGTTCAACATCCTATCTTCGGCAGTTGAAGCGCGTCCACGATGAGTAGCACGAGGTGGTTGGTGGGTTAGGTTAGAATGAAAGAGGTGATTTATGTTCGTCGGCGGGGTTAAGTGGCCTCGAGGCGGCCTGTGGCTATGGCGAATCGTATTGAGGCCCGTACTGCCTCTAAGTTTGGCGTCCACTTTTGATCGTCGGAGGGCGACTTCCCTCCCAGGTAGAAGGATAGATTCCCTCGGTGGGTGTCGGTACCCAAAAGACATTAAGTAGCTTCGACAGGTCTACTTGCATAGACCACTACCCCAGTTTTTCACCCGATAAATGAGGCTTCTGGTCTTTTGAGGTTCACCACACCTCTCACCCTGGGTGTCTCTCAGTTTGCTCCTTAAGCATACATCACGGGCGAGCCAACTAGGACGACACCGCTTCAACCGACCAATGTCGATCTCAGGCCCCCAGTGCGAGTGGGGTAGTTGACTCCCGGCTTTTTGTACACCGACACGCGCATCCGTCCTCTCGGGCTATACAGACAGTCTCTTGGCAGGCCCCGACCCTGCCGCAGTGGCTGCCATTGTACACCACGCCCCGCGAGAGCTTTCACTCTCGTTTCGCGTTACCTGAGGAGGTCTCCCTCCGCCAGGCCGACCGTGTCTTGCAGAAAGTCCTCTATACGCTCCATCCGGCAGTATATGTCGGTTGCTCTCCACTAACCAAGCTTGGTCCCCGGTGTCTGAACAGGATCGACGGGTTGCCCGTGGCGAAGCCTTAACGAGTCCTGCCGACTGCCACCAGTCAAATACCAATATTTTCCAGATTGCCCGTGTGTCTCCCAAGAGGGTGCCCGTGTCTCGGTGGTGCCCGTGTCCCGAAGAGCACTCGCCCTGAAGCTTGCCCGTGGCTGAGCCTTAACGAGGTCTCCAGCGAGCGCTCTCTCCGAGCCTTAACGAGTTCGAGTCTTAACGAGGCCTCTGGGCCTTGAACGAGGTCTGTCCGATATCAGCTTGACTGCCTGTGTCACCGGTTCACTACCGCCTCGCCGCATCTCGCACGATGCGATCCCAGACCGTATGCAAGCTCAGGGGTGTCCTGTCTTCTCCTTAGGCGACACCACTTCCACTGGTAATGCAAGACCAGTATCGGGCCCGAGTGCGAGTCAGGTAAGGAGAAGTCGGATGGTTTTCATATGCCGTTATCCCCTGATTTTGGTGTGGTTGTGCGGTCGCTTCCCGCACCGGGCCGGACCGCACAACCACGGCGGATTCAATTCGGTCTCCCCCAACGGGGATATACACCGGACACCACGAGAAGGTAAGAATCCATCGTCCCAGCAGCCTGGCAAGGACTGCTGCCCAGTGCGAGCTCACTGGGGGCATGATCCGATATAGACCTGGCTACGACCCTCAACGACCCGCATTTGCTTAAATTTTTGACGCCTTACCTCTTTCGGTTGGATAAAATTGATGATTCATCTCTGGTTTTTACAGCTGTTCTGTCAATTTGTAGATATTTCACTGAATACTCTATCAATATGATGAATTATAAAGAAATATTCATGTAGAAGTAAACCGCAGGCATGGTTACCTACAAATTACAAGTAATATTCGATGATATCGATATGGTGGGTGGTCAATGGCGGTTGTCGACAAAACAGCATGTAAAGTTGTAGATATATCCCAGTACTACCAAATGGTTCAAAGAGGCCAAAGAGCACATCGTATCGCAGCTTCTGCGGTGAAAACTAACACGCTTGACAAACAGGCGCAGCAGACTCTGCTGCTAGCTTCATGGCCCGTGGTACTTTTGTGACCATACCATATCTTGGAACACGCGAATCGGAGTGGTAGAAACAACCGCGCCAAGTCGGGGGTAGGCAAACTTGGCCCGGAAACAGATCCTCACTCTCCATTACAAGATTAGATACATCGGACGTTATCGTTGACCAATTAGCTGTGTGGTTTTGGCTCGAGCTAAAACGGTCAATTTGCGCAGACCCCTACACCGCTTAGAATCGCTCTGTTTGAAGGAGCGTAGCGCAAGAAGACAGGTCATTTTGTATTCTACTGTGTCTAACCGACTTCTCTCATAATGTTACCAAGAGCGCGCTTAATCCTAGACGAAATGTAGAGTCAGTTCCATCTAGGTCACGTGGCTACAGCTCTCGACATTGACTAACCAAACCGGGGAGATCATAAAATAAGAAATTCGGCAAGTCTGGCCATGAAATGTGGCATCAAATATAGTAGGAGAAATCTTCACCAGGACCTTCTTCTGTGCGTTTTCAGAACGGTACGCTGTACCCACAAAATGGTATATTTGACCTCATTCATCTCGAATACGTTCTGAAGTGCTCGTCCTCGTTGCCACCTCAGGCAGCCCAAGCAACCTCGAGTCCTAGTGGCTTTAATGAGCTTGGAAGTTGCGTTCCCTGGTAATTAGACAGATATATGTATGGGCGAGTAAGACCATACTATTACTGGGGAAGTCGGGGAGTACATACAACTCGGAAAAAGACCCAAACTTCAAGGATAGGTCCGTGGCATTGATGTGAGCGGTCGCCCCACTAACGATTTTTGCAGGACCGCAAATCGACCGAGCGTATCTAGGTTGCGTCTGGTGGTTCTCCGACACCTTCTATCATGTAATCCACAGAAGACAGGTTTTCGCAGCACCATCCAGGACGATGGCTGAGTGGTGTGTTCTCGATAGCCTTTCCAAAGACCTGGTATGACTTAACAAGCGACATTCCCACTCAGTCTGCTAGGGCTTTCGAATCGAGGACATTGCCTGGTTGAAGAAAAGAGACAAAGAATTGGGAACGTTCACCTCGATGGGCATCTGGTTTGATTCATTAGAGGTAGCGGAGTGGATGCTGGACAATAGCCTGTTGATCGATCACCAATATATTGGAAGAGTGGAAAAGTTTGAGATCAAAAAGAAAACGGTGCTTCTGATGCAAAGTATTCGGCCATCTAGCGTGGTCGTGCAAAGAGACGCCTCGATGCGGCCACTGTGAAGGCCAACACGAGCGAGAAAGATGTCCTCCGGGCATCAGAGCGCGCTGCCTGGAATGCAGCTGGAAAAATCCTACTGGAGACTTGCTGTGCCCGACGCCAGCCACGGCACCCTCATCGCAATGTTAGAGAACAACCTTTGAATTCTATGACTTAACACCATGAAATCGAGGGCAGACATGGAAGTTCTGACCAACGACCATCAAAGCCGGAAACAAGACGTGTTACTGCACGATGGGATTGATTGAGTACGATTCAATTGCACATGAACCTGAACCTTCATCATAGCCATAGATAAGGCCTCCTATGTTTCCTTCCCCTCCCCCTCATGCACTTCAGTCCAGTCTTGCGCTTTCTTCTTCCTCCCACATTTCCCAACAGTCTCCTTTCCTGTATTTTTCTCCGTATCTTCCATGCTCCGTCGCAATTTATTTTACTCATCGCCTCTGAACAACGTTATTGCTTATTGGATGATGATTATTCTCGTAAGAAGGAGTGTTCATGAGGAGATAGCCGCTTGGTGGCACCCTCATGCAAAACTGTATACTACATCTCATACGCCAGGATAAACACAAGTTGCAACGGGGACCTAGTTTTATTTATGTGTCCCATGATTTAAATCTACCTAATGTCCTCACTGACTAAAGACAGCGTCGGTACTCTTACGCTACCGGACTAGGCTAAATCCTGTTAGGTAGGGCTTCTATTGATTGTGCAAAAAGCTTAGTGTAAGTTACAGAGCCATGTTCAACCACAAAAATAGTAATCAATCTACTCGAGAAAGCTTTTTGCTATGGTATTTTGGTAGATACCATGGATGTTGTTGACATTGGGATGACCTTATATGACTCTGAATGTTGCTATAAACAGCCTATTTTCCTAGGCAATCGGTTTCAAAATCTCCATCCCAAATTGTAGATAGAACACATGTCGTACGATTTCAAGCTTCTGTTCACTCGCGAGCACAAAAGCGGAATGTCCAGAATCTTGCAGCCCGAAGGCTCTGGTTGCTTGAGATTAGCTGCTGGCTTGGATCATATCCTTTCTGAAGACACCCCTGTACCCTTAATCAATCTTCAGTCTTAACGCGTTTTCGAATTCTCAAGTTGGCTGAATAGTTACAGATACTCAAGACAGATCAGTACTAATATCCTTTTTTTTTAAAAAAAAGAGTTGTGGTTTTGAAGAAAGGCTGGGTGACCAAGAAGACATTCGATATTAGATCATTGGATCTGTCGCTATCCTTCCCGATTAAACGCGAAACGTCTTTACCATGCTGGGAACGAAACTCATCGAAGGTTGATTGGCCCATTTAGCATGTCGGAGCATTGAAAGGGTGGATTTCCAGCAAGTTCGGACATCCTGGGGTGGCACAAGCCTCGGCTCTTCAGTCTGAAGATTATAGAGCGACTTCGCCATTGTGGGCTTGCAATTGTATATACAGCTAGGTGTTGGACCTAGATAAGAGGTGTGTTTATTCTAGAGGCATACCTCGTTGAGTGAATCAATAAATTCTCTTTTCTTGTTGCCTAGCAAGAAATGATCAGACTCGATCCATCTCCATACTCTCTTTCTTTGGGATTGTCTACATATTGCCAAAAAAGTCATTCAGACTAAGCTAGATAACATGGGCAATACAAAGGACCCGAGCAATTCTATAAACATCATTGAGCTCATAGACTTGCAATGATTCTTAGATGGTCGAGATCGTGGTGTTGTTATTTAACGCATTATGATCAATGACTGCAAGCACTCAATATGTACTCTTATGCTGCTGAAGAGCTTCAAAACCACATCCCTTAAGTTCAAACCTGAGTGGGATCCAGATAAAGGTCCAAATCCAAGAAGGATCTCTCGAGGATCTCTCGAAACTCAGAATGGGTTGAGAAATAGCCAGTGACGGCCGTAAAGGCAACAGGCTCCGAGTCCCTCATGTTGGATAAATGGGAAAAGTAGACATGAAAGGGTAGAAAGTAATGAAAGTTCCCATGCTTTCTGTGTAAAGACTGCTGACTTTTCCTGTGTGTTCTGCGCCTGTCGATTAGCTAATTCATTAGTAAATAAGTGAGTGTAAATGTAGGATTGTCAGTACATACAGGATTCGCAAGTAACATTAGCTCTTTTATATTAGCCTTCAGACTAGTGGATTTGCGACAAGTTGGGCCAGCCATATGCGGATGAAGGGCGCTGTCTCTGGACCCGGTGATTAGTGCTGATTAGATGCGCGAAAAAAAATTGTCTGTATGCTTAGATGGAAATATATATATCATCATAAGATTTTTTAACTTCGAGACGACTTGAACACCTATGTTGAAATTGGCGATGTACAACCCAAGACGGCATGAATTTGACCTATTCTAGAGAGGTGGTTTAAGTCTGATCTCTTTCTCATTGAGAAAGTTTCTCATTGAGAAAGAGACCCTATTTAAATGACAGAATTTTACCCGAACTATACTCTTCATGGAAGGATGTACGCTGACTGATTCATGCCTGATATATCTGGTATACACCATCTATTCATGCCGGAATCTCAACAATATATAGTGTTTAAAATACTTATCGATTGCTATCGAATAACAAAGAAATCAAACAACAACGTGGTTGCTGAGATATCAAGTTGTAGTTTATCTCGTTTACTATGGTGTTTTGGAGTGTCCAGCTCGGTAGTGAAATACGTTTCATTTTTATGATACCCACTGAAATCAATCTTATTATTTCAAGATTCCCATTGGCTTTTTAGACCACTTTGTAGCGCATTGATCAGAGAAAGCCGAGATTATACCTATATATAATGATTGAATCCCCAGGTCGACTACGCCGCCACATCTCTTTTCCTGAGATCAGGTACTTACCGGACCCCGGCATCCTGACAAAGGTCAATCGAAATTCTCCTCATTTCTTCTTCCCATCAAGGCCTGAGTATAGTTCGTAGCCAAAGTCTTTACTTGGGTCGTTGAAACGGAGCTTCTTGTCGATCGCATCGATATTTTCAATATCTGCAGGCTCCAATTCGAAAGCAATATCAAAGTTTTGTTTGATTCGCTCAGCTGACTTTGATTTGGGGATGACGGAACGGCCATGTGCGATACCCCAGGCTAAAAGGGTTGGTTAGTTGGAGAAACATCATCTCGGCATAAGTGGCACACATACCCAAAGCGACTTGGTTTGAGGTCTTTCCGTACTTCTTTCCGATTTCTACCAAGGTCTGATCATTCACCAGCTGACCATGTTCCTCGCGAGAATCGTAGATTTCATTTTGGTTTCCAAATGGTGAATACTGCGTCACATGAATACCATTCTTCCGATGGAAGTCGTAGAATTTCTTTTGTTGAAGCCAGGGGTGGAGCTCCATCTGGTGCACGGCCGGTTTAATCGCCACGTTGTCAAGAATGCGTTCGACTTCCTTTTGGGAAAAGTTGGAAATTCCGATAGCCTTAGCTTTACCGGATTTGACAAGGCCTTCCATGGCTCTATATGTCTTTGACTAGTCAGTAGGCAATCTCGAGGCTACCATCCAACGAGGCTTACATCGAGATAGTCGATATTATCAGTGATCAGCTTCCCGTCTTTGTTGGACGGGAAAGGATCATCTCCACGCTTGAAAGCAACAGGCCAGTGCATCAAGAACAGGTCGAGATATTCCAGACCCAGATCATCCAATGAAAGTTGCACTGCTTGGTCAAGATCCTCGGGATGATGCTTATTGTTCCAGAGCTTGCTGGTAACAAAAATTTCCTCCCGAGGAATGCCACTTTGCTTTATGGCTTTGCCAACAGCAGGCTCAGTGCCATAGCTATGGAAGTCAGCCTCATTGTCTGCATTGAGTTGTCGAGGGAGAGGACTACCATCTTGCTGTATCAATATGGCGATAACCTGCGTGAAGAGCGGCAAGGACTGCTGCTTCTTGGGCCTCCTCATCTTGCCAGGTTCCGAGACCAATGGCAGGAATCTGAGCGCCGTTGGAAAGAGTGAAGGTTTTCTGATTGTCGGTCATTGTGATAATTGCGATGGACAGTTCAAATGTAAGATCTCTAGATAGTAAGCCGTGAGCTTAATATATGATATATGCTTGTGTTCTTCAGATATCAAGTTTAGCATTTCCGAAAGTTGATGTTTTTATGACGTCGTCTACAACCATCCCCCCCCACACTCTCAATAGTGGAGTGTTTTAAGAACTTAGTATATGGCTTGCTAGCTATATCTCGAATTGTACTGGCTTGTCGAGGCTTGACATGGTAACGTCACATTGGTGTCATGGGTTGATGGCGCCATCATCAAGTGAACGCAACCATTCCAAGCCTGTTTAATTGATGCATTAGTACATCCTTTCCTTCATGGAAAACCAACCACATGTGCTTTCGAAGGGCCCCTTTCAGCATGCTGAACATATGTTCATTAATGACGTCATAGCCCATCATCATCAATCAATCAGCGTCGCAAATTATCGATTCAAACTGTTGAGTATCACGGTGGTCAAAGCTTGTGTGGCGAAACTAGCGATGTACATTTAAATAGACGGGTTTCCTGCTTTTGATAGTAACCTCAACAAGAACATTACAACTACCTATCTCAACAGTCTGATTGACTTAGATTGACTTAAAAAGTTATCTTTAACAGGGGCGGGATGTCTCATATATATCTGTTCCTAATCCCTGCCATCAGGTTCAGCCACCGTGATACTCAACAGTTCGTTTTTCAACAGATACGAATAGGGGCCCAGGAAAATTCCAGTCAGCATAGTAATTGTTGAGTATCACGGTGGTCAAAGCTTGTGTGGCGAGACTAGCGATGTACATTTAAATAGACGGGTTTCCTACTTTTGATAGTAACCTCAACAAGAACATTACAACTACCTATCTCAACAGTAATCGAACTTGGAATCGAATCTACCAGATAGGTACGCTATGTTCCGGAAGAGGTCTAGTTTTGACCACGAAAATCAAATGGGTTAAGCGTGTTCTTAGATCAGCGTATTGGTCTCAACATGATCAGATTCAATCGACCATAACTCCATGGCCATTCACTTTAACAAAACGAAAATTGAACTTTCAAAGAGCCATAGTAATTTATAATGCAAATTCAAGGTCTTTAGAGCCATGGTCTTGCTGGTCGTGGTCAAGGTATCGTATATGGTACAGTAGCCCACCCCCGGTCTTCCACACCGGTGGCAGAGGCGCACGCGGTATCCCAAAAACAATAAACCAATAATGAATTTTTTGTTCACTCTGATATGTAAACCCCGTAGGTTTCTTTCTCCATCATCATTGTTTGCCATTTGGATAAAACACCTGGGCGATCATTTGGGACCACCAAAGGTCTCTTTCCCAAGCTGAAGAATACAAATAGATGACTGTTCCGTACTAAGTTGAGATTAAAGCCTCCTAAAATCAACTTGAAGAAAAAGAACATGGGACACAGGCGCTCTTGCTTAACACGAAATCAAGCCCACCAAACTACTTCAACCAAGTGCATCTTATGCCGCTATGGATTTCTGACAATCCGATTACCTGTCGAAAATGCCACTATTAATAGCTTGATAACGATGGCGCTGTCCAATAGGACAAGCTCACTGGGAACAACTGCTGACGACCTATATTAAACGGGCTGGGCGCCCCCGTTGTGCGCATGATGGCCGTCCTTCGCCCTAGCAGATACGTCGTTCTCCTTGCGGTAGGACCAAAGGTTGAACAACTCCAGGAAAATTGCAAAGAAAGTGAAGATACTGCGTGATTGTTAGAATCCATAAATCGACATGCAAAAGGGCAAAACACACAAGGCCAGAAATATAAATGACTCGTTAGCCTTCTTTATAGCGCATTTGGCCCCAACCGGAGCATTGACCGCGCAATTTCGCCAGTTGTAGTCTTGGGCGGCAAAAATGAATGCCGTTAACCACCTAGTGGTAGCGGATTTAGTATCTCAGCAACCATAGGATCACTCAGAGGCTGTAACTCACAAGTAGGAGAAAACAACGTCAACGCCCAAAACATATTTGCTAAGGAGGTTGGGCATAAATGGGGAAACGAAGCCGGGCAAGAAGAATGCAACAGAAATCGTTGACTACCCATCATTAGCATCTTTGGTTACATAGGGCGTAATGAGTTAGATGAAGAATTGCATACAATAACTTCTTGATAGATGATGTGCTCTCCTTTCGGCCAGTTATGTATGAAGTAGGAAGTAATGCCCATCACAATAACTGCACTTGCCCATTGCATGAAGCGGACCACAAAGACCATGGGCCGGGAAACAGTTGTCGAGGAAATCATTTTGGCTTCGCCTCACGTCTAATTCTGTAACTGTAAGTACTTTGATTGATGCCGTCCAGTACTGATCAGTCAATTCAATTCGAAAAGATTTGATCTTACTGATCTGGAAGGGTGAGAAGGGCGAATATATGGAGCGAGAGAAGTCTTGCATCATGTTTACTCAATGTGGCGAACAGAAGCAAGATCGAACCAGGTAGATATTTCACTCTAACTCGGTGATCCGCACACGCATCGAAGTATATCCTGTTTTCATTTAAGCATACTGGTGGAAACGACACAGACAAACTAATTTAGACGCTAGTTCCGCACTTGTCTCCTAGAAGTACGAGGTTAACTCCGCATGGACTACCCTGTTGTCCCAGCCCCTATGCTTGCCGAACATTCCGGCAGCTCCGAGTACACCTTGATTTACCCTGGTCGTCTCATCACTGCAGATAGATGTCGGCCTTTGTAGGCCACAGGATCTACGTCATACAGTGGGTCGGACGATCAATGCCTAGCATTTTTTGCCCCCCATGCTTTTGGGCTTCGAGGCGAGGACGACCAATAACCTTGTTCTGATAGTGAATGAGCGTCCCGTACTCATTTATTCACTGCATATAATCCTTGATCAATTCCAGCAAGAAATTGGCATGGGGAGGCCGTCAAGCTCCAATAGAGATAAGTTCAATTCTAGTAGATTCGGATGTGCATCTGGCGGCTTGCTATATAAATTTCCAAATTATTGGGGGTTGCATGCGTCCATTAAGTCGACCGGCGTCTTGTTTGGGGTGTTGGTCACGAATCACGAATAATCTTTTACCGGTGGTATTCAACTCTCTACTACATCCACAAAATGTACCTAAAGAATGAGAAACGCTTGGATAAGACGTGTAAAGCTGCCCTTGCCACGAGTGTTAACAAAATAACATAAAATAAAGAGGAGAAAAACCACCCAAAAACCGAATTCGGCCTCCCTCAACCAACTGGTCTAATGCGCGCCAATCGCGGGATTTTTCACGAGCATTCCAATTTGCCTCCGATCGTATCATCATGAAGTAATCGACCGTCTCTCAATTTACAGTTCCATCAATCAATCGAAAATAATTAATCGAACCAAAGCATTTTCAAACCTAAAGCTTAGTTTCACTCACTGTGATATTTTTAATTCATATCAGGTTTTCCGCAACAATGTTATTGTGACAATTACTGAATGAGCACGTCATCTGGCAATTAACATATGAATATGTTAATAACTCACGTATTTAGTCTGCATTGGATATTGGAATAGAAGTTGGCCATACCACCACAAAGTTCGGGTTGGATCTTTCTTATCTCATAATGGTTTTGCAAACGAGTAGTTTCATTGACCGAGGTGAAAATCTGCCCTTGTTACCCCAGGAGCTGCATATCGTATCAATTAACATGCTGCAGAGTGTCCGCTTTGTCTAGAAGAATTTAGTCACAATGATCGAGAGTTGGAATGTGGACATGCTTACCATGCATTATGCATCAACACTTGGTTAGCACGCGATAACGACAATTGTCCTGTCTGTCGTCAACGTGCAACATACGCAACGACATCACCCAAGAACCAGCTTCGTGCCCTTCGAATCTCAAGTATAAACCTGTGCGATGTCTCCTACACGTGCGTCAACCGCCTAAAAAGACAGGCGCGCCGCCTTGCGAATGCCACTAGTGACCATCGGGCATTCTGAGTAATCTCGTGCGTATGTAACGAACTGCAAACTCATCCATGTAAATAACATAGGTTTAAATTTTCGACAAGGGTTTAAATAAGACTTCATATTTTCTATTGTTTTCAGTAATTGCAGCATCACCTCTCACACAGAGATCCCACCCCCCCCCCCAATATCGCTTTCATGCCATAAGATGTGATTGCTCGAGCCTCTCGTTGTTTTAATATGAAGGCCGAGTTCCTGGGTGACGGGGAGCCAGGCTGTGTTGAGTGACTGTGGATTGTGATGCACTAGAATGGATCCCATTTCATATGAAAGTCGGCTACATCTATCCCTGACAACCGGACCCATTCCATCACCTGTTGAAGTTTTCCTATTTTGAAGACTTACGCAGGGTAGAAAGCAGTGTATCTTGATCCTGAAGGTGATCTGCGCTTTGAAATGCCCCTGAACCATAGCTAGTGTTGCTGGAAAGAACTCAGCTACGACCGATCCACTAGGATGGACCTATAAACAAAGGAGAGCAAAGATATCTCGTCGACATGATTCCTTAGGTACTATCCCTTTTATGATCGAAGCCTACTGCACGCCCGTTATAGAAGCCATAGAAAGCTCTACGTTGAAGCTTAGTACCGTTAGACTACGGTCATTTCTTGTCCTGATACAAAGAATTGGCAAGCCGTTTTCACCAGACCATGCTACTGTAGCTTCAAACCGGAACATTAAGTGTCTAATTATAGTGTAGGAGAGCCACATTGCGGCTCACTTAGTCCATGTTGGACGATTGCATTCATCTCACTTATTCTGGCCACGGACAATTTGATCGGGCACCTCTACGTGAGGCCGAAATCCGTGTTCTTTATTCATTCTGCTTCACCGGATACGGTATACGTCCTGAACTAACACATTAAGTCTTCACACGACATGCTTTCTGCAGTCACGGGGAATGTTGTCAAGAGGCGTCTCCACAAACTGTGCTGGATCTAACGAGACGGGCCTTCGCAATTGCATCCAAAGCCAACAAGCGACCTTGACCACTTTATTTTCCTGGTCAGCGCTATGAAGATAGTAACTATTAGATACCCCATTCGGCTCTTGTAAACCGTTTTGTGAAGTGCAAGTCGACTTCAATCCAAGTCGAAGGTTCTTGCAAAGCTGCCGCTACTATTAACAAGTGTCGGATTGACAGATACTGGTATGTGCTAGTATTGAGGTGTCCCATTGAGATGCATTGATGTTGTTCTATCTGGATCTTGCTGTTGAAGCGTTATCAGATCTCAGGAGTCGTTCCTAGCGTGTTACGACGCTGGTACAGTGGTGTAACATTAGTATTTGACCTCCGGTACTTCGGCCTAGGACCCACTTTGTTATACTGCCTGGCAGAAACCTCGGAATTCAATTCAATTTAATAGCTAGTATGCCACCCGCCATACTTAATGACATCAGCTACCCTATGAGGCATTGTCTCCGATAGATGCTTAAAGAGATCGATATCTAGCGCTTCCCATGCTTCCTGCGCAGCTTCTAGTAGTAATTCTAGCGTAGGTTCATTATTAGGAAGCTGCATGAGCTCTGGGTGACGCTTCAGGATTTCCGCTTTAAGCAGCGCCCAGAGGTTCTCGATCGGATTCAAATCAGGCGAATAGGGAGGCCATTCCATGATATCGCATTGGAGCTCATTTAAAGCGTCCCGTACGATATATGCCGTGTGAACAGGCGCGTTATCTTGCTGAAAAATAGCATTAGAATCAATGCTATTAAGGAGCGTAGGTAAGACGCGCCGATAGAGCTCTTCGATCGTACGTGAAGAGACGCCACCTCTTCGAGATAGGGGATCTCCGAATAGGGGAATAAGGCCTGATCGACGTGGAAGTCCGGAAAAAGCAGCCCAAAACATCTGCTTAATTTGCTTCCCCCGCGCTAGAACCATTTGAACCTGATGGCCTTCTTCCGAATGCTGAAAAAGCTGATCTTTCGGACGCGTAAAAGTCCATTCTTGACGCTGGCCAATGCCACGTTCAACCGTACATTCGTCAGACCAATAGACGCGGGCCCAATCCTCTGATATAAAATGCTGATATTGAAGAGCCCAGCGAAGACGTTTCTCGGCGTGTATAGGCGTCAATGCCGGCCGCTGCATCTTCCTCCATTTTCGAAGGCCCATTTCGTGGGTTAGACGCCAAATTGACATACGGTGGACTTTAAAATCAACCTCTCCAAGTAGATCCTCGATCAAAATTGAAGGCTTTTCTTGTATAATATCGTAGATATGGTCACGATCCTCTTCAGTAATCTTCCTCGGCTGGCCTGAGCGTGGAAGGCTTTCATGCTTTTGACGCTTTGCTTCTTGGGTAAGCGTATATTGGATGGTTGAGCGTGGAATGTCGGGAAAGCGCTGCTTCTTAATAGTCGTAGCACCCCAGCCATTTGCAGCATGTAATTCGCAGATCTTAGCCCGGGTAAGGCAGTCAAGCTCTGGACCTCTTTTTCCGCGTATAGGTGGCATTATTATAGAGAGAAATAGTGAGAAACGCGTAAAATTATAGCGTATATACTGGCGTGTTGAAAACGCGAGTGTTGACGTACTAATAAAGTAGGCGGTCCAAAAAGCGGTCAGGGTCCCGAAGTACCGAAGGTCAAATACTAATGTTACACCACTGTATGCCGAGCGTACCCCGTTTACCATACAGAGACAGAGACAGAATGGGTACTTGATGAATATCCCTGTTCTTAGTGGTAAAATACCACCCCTCAGTTCGACAACAAGCTCTCCATGGTAGCATATGTTCCATACTTGATAGCATACCACAAGGCGCTTTCCGATAGAGCTATTGACGATATCGCGGATAAACCGATATTGACGATACGATATCGGCTGCCTTTGAATTTGTCGATGCCGATTGCCGGTACGATATCGGCAGGCTTCAAATTTGACGATATCACCACTCACGATATCGTCATATCGTATCGGCATCGGCACATTTTTCCTTTAAGTTATCTAGAGAGCGAGCTTGCTTTGTTTGAACGGCAGTTTATTTGACAATTTATGAATGCAGAGCCGTGGCATCGCGACGGTATAATTTACCAACCCCGACCCTTGACCGCTACCACTTATACCCGTCGCGAATCAACATCAGCATTCTTATGGTATCCCCTTTCAAAGAATATCTCCGGATGCCTAGCACATCCCTCGCTGTGCTAAACACTCTCTCAGCACCAACTTCAGAAGCAGGAATCGCTAGATAATCCCTGGCTGCTGCTGCCATCCGCGGATACTCGCCCTTGTGCATCTTCCACCAATTACAGAGCCAGTTCTGGCCGGTTGTGTCTGCGATATTGATCGGAGGGCTGTCGAAGTACTTATCAATAGCTGGAGCGGTGGATCTCGCGCCTGCAGCTTTTTCGGCATTCTAGACTCCACATCACTATGCTTCAGAGAAGTCGTCTGTGATGCAGCGGCATCATGCTCCGGGTTACTAGCCGCGTATACTTGCTGCAGATTGGTGCGGATCCTTTCCAGAATCATTGCCCCTGCATTGCGATCTTGAAGTTCTCGTAAGACCATTTCACCTTTGACTCGAGGATCCAAGACGAGGGCAGTGTAGTGTCGCAATTATCCATAATGGAATAGCACTTTTCGTATTTCTTCATCCCTTCTTTCACTGCAGCTATGATATCTCGATCCAGTTTTGCGAAGTCATCTTTTCCCTCCCTCACGTCGTCAAGCAATTCGTGTAGCTCATAGTAAATCGGGTCTGCAAGGCTGATTTGTGGGTTGCGCTTCGAAATGAACAAAGTAAGTACGTTGAACTTGTGGAGTACTGTGTGAATCTGTTCCAGCCGGGACCAATCTTGGAGAGTAAACGGCGGGAGTTCCTCCTGAAGGTTTAGGAACTTGTTGACTTGACTTCAAGCCATCGTCGACCATGCGAAATGTTAAGTTCCATCGTGTCGTCACATCGTACGCAACGAATTTGTCTGGAAGATTGTTAAGTTTGCAAATCTCCTTCCATTTCTGTCGGCGCTGAGGACTTCGGTAAATCCAAAGAGCGAGGACCCGTAACTTCCCTATAGCTGAGTGATTGGTGATCGAGTTGCCAGTCTATAAACAGTCACAGGCAACTTGCGCTTGTCCCATCGTCCCTGACCCTAGCTTACGGAGGATATCTTTCACAATCAGATTGAGGACATGAGCCAGGCAGCGGATGTAACTGTCAAGGCCTCGATAGAGTGGTGCTGGCATTGCTTCTTCCACCCCAGGTCGGTCGGAAAGAGACAAGAATAACTCCGAAGCCATGGCCTCATTGTTACTGGCGTTGTCGCCTGTAATGGAACTGAGCTTGTCCTCGAGACCCAACTCGATTAGCATATTTTCCACTGCAATTGACAGATTTTCGCCGCTATGAATGCCCTGGAGTTCGGCGAACTCGAGTAATCTCTCGCGGTACTCAAATTCGTCAGTCAGCCCATGACCAATTATCCCTAAAATAGGGAGATGATTCTGGCTTTCCCAAATATCCAGTGATAAGGCAATGGTTTTGCAAGTCAAAGCCAGCTCATTCTTTAGCTTCTTGCGCTGTATGCCGAACTCTTGCATTCTTGCATGATTCGACCCCGCAAGGTGTGGCGAGACGTGAAAGGGGGCTCAATCCCAGGAATGCCTCGGAACATTTGCTGAAACTCTCTGGAGACTCAACAGTGGTAAAGGCTTTCGTATAAGTCACGATCCAGCGAATGGGGTTCCTTGCCAAGACCTCTTGATGGGTAAGACTCTGTTTACCACCCATAAATCTCCGAATGTCTGGTCCCTTATTCGCTGGCTGTATACTGGAGGTCAAGCAGTAAATGCCATGCTTTGCCAAGTGGGTTTTAATGTTGCTGGTAGTGTTTTGTCTCTGGGAATCTGACGTATGCCAGTCACAGCGTGTTCCATCTTCTCATCTACATGCATACAGCAAATCTCTCGGTCAACCAGCCGCCTCTTGTTAGTCCTCTTGATAACCCATGGACAATCAACGTCTGTAGCCTCGAAGTACCCCCAGATCCATTCTGTAGCAGGCGCTGGCCGTTTGGAGCATCGAGAGGATACCTGGCTCGTGATTGAAGTACCAGCATCTGTTGAGCCTTCTGGGGATACTAGCACTTGCGACACAGACTCAGAAGGTAGGAGCTCGCAACCTGGTATGCTGGCGAGGATCACCACGTCGTCTTGACAGGCTGGGAGAGTACGTGTAAGATTGCTCGGCGGCTCGCTTGGTTCGCTTGCTTGGTCGGTTTGATCTTCGGCCAAAGCCTCTCCATCGCTCTCGTCATTCAAAACTCGGTAGTTGAGGCGTTTCTGCCGGGTACGCATTTTGTGTTGGATGCACCGGGTCACTGGTGCAGTGCAGATGAATACGACCTGCTAGTCGCAGCTCACTGTCGATATGGACCCAGTGGCTCAGTAGAACCAGGGTTGAAGAGTCATAAGTGGAGTTGGTTAGTTTCTGGAATAGCAGGTCACTGTCAACGAAGAAGAGGTTGGGGCACGCGTCCCAGTCTCTCAGACGCGTCGCGTCTAAATAGAGTTGAACCATATAATGGGTGAGCTCTTATGGCCTCTGGATATTCTGCCATATAGCATAGCGGACAGGGAAGACGTAGCCATAGAACCGAGCAGATAATATTATAGTATGTTGGCAGGAAAATGCCAATGAAGTAAATACATATATGCGTATGCGCAGAGGAATGGAAGCAACTTAGAGAGGATTAATACTTTGCAATAGCAGAGAGTTACTTGATAGGACGGGAGAGCAACGTAAAATATATAAACATCCAGCCACATAGTACGGCAACAACACAACGTAGGACTACACAACGGAAGCGGATTGCCCTAATTAACAAGTAACTAAGCTCATATTCTCTTTATAGTAAAGTTTTCTATATCTAGGACCAGGAGCTATTCTCTTATTATCCAATTACCGGTGACGACATATCGCCGACGATAATATCATTTGCCGATATCGTATCGACAGTTTCTTAAACTGTCGATGTCGATTGCCGATACGATATCGGCAGACTTCGAAGCTGACGGTGTTGATCGACGATATGAGAAAACAGTGCCGATATCGTATCGTTAACAGCTCTATGCCAAGAGCCGATATATTGTCCCTGTCTATAGGTCTAACTAGCTGATCACGGAATAACTAAATCGGTCATATCTGGAGCATACCGCTGTCGACCGCCGCGGATCATGAAGATAGCACGTGATCTAAGGGGGGTCGGCGGCTCTAGGGTTATAATTTTGTAGAAGTACGCGCAGTAAGACACTTGAGGGAAATAGGGCCGTTCCTCTGATTCCATATTTATTCAGATGGAGATTTGGACATCACCGTTCTCGGCGAGCTTGGAAAGACAGATATTGGATTTATATAGCATTATTAGGCTCAGTAGAGTGTCCGGGATGGAATTGGATGTATTGATGACCTCACACAACCTGCGAGGGCAAGGTACGTTTTAACCCTACCGGGTCAACTTTCGCTTTCGTAAGGAAAGGCATGGATGGTAGCCTTAATGCCAAACCTCGGTCCTGTACGATCCAACATCTGTGTACTTTATACATCTTTACTAAAAATAGGCTCCGGGATTCGTGCCCGGAAGGCCCGGGGTAGACCGTACAGTATAAAGTTCCATTCTTCAGCTGAAACCTTTACTGACGGGCGAGCCTGACTGATCGCCCAGCACCTGTTTCGGGGGAACCGATTCGTGGTACCCTGGAGCACTATCATTAATCATGAGGGTTGTAGTATCTACAAGGTACTGTAGTTTCCGCTTCCTAGTGACGACTGATTGCACATCGAAACCATGCCATGAGACTTTTGGAGTCGAATACTATCCCACAAAGGCTGTTATCTTACTCGCGACAATGATAGTGCTCTTCAATTGATCTCCAATATGATAAATGCAAGTGAGAATCGGGTATTGTGCGGGCAACAGAAGGAAGAAAAGTTAACTTGCGAAAGCTAACGTATAAAAATGGGATTCAAAAGAGCGAAATCATGGTGAACGATTAATGCAGCGGGGGAAGTTGACTGAATGTACATTTTTACAAGGCTTTCCACGGTTTCTAACTACAAACATTGTCGGTAACCCTGACTGCTTCGTTATCCTGCGCGGAGGCAAGAAGGGTCATAACTACGATGCACAGAAATGTAGTGGTGTAAGACCCATAGAAAGCTAAATATCCAAGGGCGAGCAAACCTGCAGCCAGACTGTCTTTAGTCGAACCAAATAATATTGGACTATCTCATTCATTTTCTTGTTGGACGCATCCGAAGTGTAGTGCTATGCTCAATCTCAATTGTAGACAACCTGCTTGCTCAGAGAGTTCGTCGCTCAATTGACTCGAACTACTATTTCGTTCCTAATTAGACGGCTAGACGCCTCCTTACCCCCGCTTATTATAAAATCACTCGCATCCACCAGATCTATGACAGCCGTCTCACCAACTGCGATCATATTTCCTTCAACAAGCTCGACAATTTGCGCCAGCGCAGCGCCATCTGGTAACGCAGTCACACGTTCCAAGCGCGCTACAATATTGTTCGGACACAGGATATCCTAACCCTGGCCGACTGTACTCTTCATTTCAGGCCACGGTATTCCCAGATTTATCAGCAAACCATTATCCTTCACCACGGAGGATGCGTGGGCTAGCCGGAAGGTAGCATCGCCGGAACAATCCAGTATAATATCCGCTGGATCCCAGTTGCGGGAGTGGAAGGTTGCGGCGAGATCAACGGGTTTATGTGAGGATGGCGGAGAGATAAGTACCTCGTCCACACCCATTTCATCCTTAAGCGCCTCCGATTCCTCCCGTTCACACACAGCGCAGATCCATGGCCTAGCGAAAGCAGGGGCCACATTTCCCGCCCGTAGAAGCTGGATAGCAATTCGACCGATCTTACTGCCGTTCCCGTTGATAAATAGCACACGCATGGGCGTAGAGCTAGTCGGATTTTCACTGCTTTTCGCAGAAAGCCGAGTCCTGCAATACCGGAAAAGCGCCTGCCAAGCTACCAGAGCTGGCATAACCACCGAAGCCGCCTCCGCGGCACTGATATTCATTGGTTTCAACGCGAGCTCGTCCTCCGTCGCAAGCGCGTAGTCAGCCGCCCCGCCGTCTCGCGTATAACTCAACATCCCAAAAACTACATCTCCAATTTTGAACCGCGGCCCCCCAGGTCTTGTATGATCTTCCGTCGGTGTGCTGATCACAGTTCCACATACGTTGTGTAGTGGAATGCGCGTGGACGGATACTTCGGGCTAACAAATCTGTTTGGCGGCGCTTCCATATGTCCCCATGTGGCTGATTGGATCTTGAGGAGATATTGGTGTGGTGATGGTTGCGGCGTTGGATAATCGGGATCCAACAATGCTCCCATAGCTAAGCCGGAGTCGGTCTCACGGTAGTTCTGCCTATAATTTGCTCCGGCCAAGTCTTCATTACCAGCCTTGATCGGGGAGTAGTAAACTGCACGCATAGTTGCGGGTACAAATGTCTGCTCGTTCATCGTGGCAGATGCGGGCTTAGAGGGCTTCATGGTGAGGTTTTGGCTGGCCGTAGTTCTTTTTCTCAAAAGGTTCGTACAAGCAAACGTTTGCTCTTCATGCCTCAAAAAGAGATATACAAAGTTATACAGCTAAATTCTCAAGCAAAAATGAAATCTTCTACATGCTGACCAAAACAGTGCTCTTGTCCTGTTACGGAGCATGAATACGTCACAAGTTGTCATGGACATAACTAATCCACTCTCCCGGGTATGATGTAAGCTCCATCTAACTGACCTCTTATTTACTTGCGTTAAGCTAGCTGTTGGACTTTCTACTCTTTCTTGCTATCACGGGTCCGGGCTCCTGCGTCGTCCCTTTAGCAATAAATAAACGAGTTCGGAGGAAGCGGTCCACCCCGAGAAGGCCAGGCCTCTTGGGCTGGCGATCTAGTAGCTTGTCTATAGCACCCTGTTCAGCCATCACCTCTTCCTGATGCCTCCATGTGCAGTCTGTACACGCCGACTATATTATTTTTTTGCTACGTTCGACAGCAAATTTGACAACCGAAACCAAAGATAGGTTGACGGAAGTTTACTTCAGAAACTATTCGACGTAGGGGCCTTGGACACAAGGTATTCCGAGTGATCAGCACTCGCACCAGGCTCACTGCTGACCTCATCCCCGACATTGAATACAAGAATTGTCGCGCTTTCAATACCGGCTTCCTCGCATATTCTCGAACAATTGACCATGTCCACCGAACATATACGTATACCGTTATCAGAAAGGGGTGGCAGACATTGGTATGTAAGCAAAACTTGCTACTTCTTGCGATGTTACTTTGGGTCTAGTGAAACAGACAAAGGTATGGTTATACCGATCGATATTTTCGCGGAAACTTCTGACACTGCAGTACGCTGTCAACTTTTTGAATCCCCGTAAACTCCATCATTAGCAATTTGAAAATTTAAGTCATGGAGGGTAATCGTGCCAATACATACGGTAAAAATTGATGACATCAAATCTATTCGGTTATGTTCACTTCTTTCAGATGTTGTTAAGTAGCGTACATTATGTTGAGAATGGTTATTTCGCCATCCCTTACCTCTTCTCGCTGGGAGATATTACTCGCCATGTATCATTCATGTCGGAACTATGCTCCAGCGAATAAAATTGGCCTTCAAACTACCGGAAAACACCCGTGTAGAATCACAAACCTTCTCAGCTAAAGGATAACTTATTTTATATCTACTGCACTCGGCGAGAACATGTAGTATGCTTGGACAGTAGTGGTGGTTTAACCCTTAACCATTTATCTGTACTAGTTAGCTTCAGTGCACGTAAAGTCTTCTGCCATATGGATCCGCCCTTACAGGTAAGTCCAGGTAGGTGTGCCCGTCGTAGCTGGCGGTGATGCAGATGTCCGTTGCGTCATACTTACAACTCTGGCCGGATATAGTGACGGCGACATGACATGATGTAGACCCTCCCTTGATTGTAACGCGTATAAGGACAAGAATTATCCGTGAGAGCAAAAGTACATTTCAATTTCCTTACTATAACTGTTTGAACCGACTCACCCACCTGGTTCCTAGACAACATGTCCACAGAAGACAGACTCAATGAAATGCGTGGGTATAAAGCGCAAGTGTCGAGATCAACAACATATCATATGCCCATGTTAACCTTCTATAGCATTCTAAGCAACCCCAACGTCTCCGAAGAAGCAAAGCAAAATGCACAAGCTATGCTTGATGAGATCGGCGGGGATCGCCCGCGGGAGGAGCTATATCAAGCCAGGGGTGATCAAAACAAAGATCCCATGAGGGTTTCAGCTGGGCTTAAGGCGTGAGTCTTACCTTGGGAATTTGTTGTTTGGGTATGATGATAACCCAATTTTTAGCGCGCAGCACAACCCTGGCGTGACGGAGGGCGGGAAGCAGAGAGTTGCGGAAGAGATGAAGGAAAGGAATGTTCCGGAGTAACAACGTGATTCCCGGCCGCCCGAGCGTCCCCGTCACCCGAGCGACACTTGAAAAAAAACACTTCTCTTAGCAGTCTTTGTTTTTAAACATTAACCATGCCACCAATTCGCTCTCAAAAACCTCATAAATCAGTACAGCAAGAGGAACGACTTTTATTGGCCATCAAGGCCATGGAAGATGGTCAATATCTGTCTGCTGCTGCTGCTGCCCGCGCTTTTAACGTGCCAGTATCAACTTTGAAGCACCGGATCAAAGGCCGACAATTTAGGGATGAATCTCGCGCATCTGGCCATAAGTTTACTGTCTTAGAGGAGGAATCTATGGAGAAATGGTTGCTTTCTATGGACTCTCGAGGAGCAGCTCTTACGCATGCTTTGTTAAGAGATATGGCCAATTTGTTGCTCCGATCGCGTGAATTGATACCCTCCGACCCTCCGAAAGTTGGCCAAAATTGGACTACAGAATTTGTCAAAAGACACCAAAGTCTGTCTACTTGCCTTTCTCGTAAATACAACTATGAGAGAGCTCTTTCCGAAGACCCTCGGGTTATCCTACCTTGGTTTAAGCTTGTGGAACATACTATCAAAAAATATGGTATTACTTCTGATGATATCAATAACTTTGATGAGTCTGGCTTTGCGATGGGAGTCAATTCTACTCAAAGGATTATTACTTCTGCGGAATACCATGGCAGAAGAGGTGTTCTGCAGCCTGGGAATCGAGAATGGGTCACTGTAATTGAGTGTATTGGTGCCAATGGTGTTGCGCTTCCACCATATATCATTTTCAAAGGAAAGGGTCTTCTTAGAGCGCTGGCTCTCAAAACCACCACTTTGGAGTGTGAACAAGAGCTCTAATGGATGGACAAGTGATGAGATCGGTATTGATTGGCTTAAAAGACATTTTTTACACTATCTTCCTATGCGGAAAGGGAAATATGTGTTGCTAATTCTGGACGGACACTCATCTCATTTAACACCTGGATTCGACGGAATCTGCAAAGAGAACGATATTGTCTCTCTTTGTATGCCTGCCCATGCATCCCATTCATTACAACCTCTTGATGTTGGATGCTTTTCAGTTCTCAAAAGAGTATATAGAGCGCTTGTTATGGAAGAGATGCGCCTTGGTGTCAATTCGATTGATAAAGATGACTTCCTTCAACTCTACCCCATTGCCCGAGAAGCTGCTTTGACGGCTCAGAATATACAGAATAGCTTCAAAGGTACCGGTCTAGTACCTCTAGATGCTACTTGTGTACTAGACAAGCTCAATATTCAGCTTGAATCGCTTTCGGTACCTACGCCACTTGAATCACGACCAGCATCTTCCAGCAGTACTAGTGATCTAGATACGCTTTGGAGCCTCTCAAAACTACAAAAAATGAACTCTAAGATCAAAAAAGGTCTTGAGTCTTCATCAGAGACCATGACTTCCCCAATAAAACGAGCGATTGATCGGTCGCATGATATGGCTGTTCGGCTAACTCATGAGCTGATCTTTATCCAAGATCGTTGTGCTAGGTTAGAGACTGCTAATAAAAAGCAGATAAAGAAGAGGGCTAGTAGTAAGAAGCAGATATCGCATCAAGGCAGTCTGCGAGGTTTGGAAGAGATTGGATCTAATATGGTGGTGGAAAAAGATGGTGGAATGAAATATATATCTACAACAGAAGGTGCTCATGAATCACCAGTTAAGCCTGAACTACGCCCTGTATCTACTATATGGCGTCAGGTTACTTGTTCTTGTTGCGGAACCAAAGGACATACTTATTCTCGATGTCCTGCAGAAGCTATTTAGTGATTAAGTCAGAATCCTGTGTTGATATTTAAGATTGTAAAAGTACAAAATTTGAAAGTTCTAAGAGTAGCGCTCGCGCGACCGGGACGCTCGGACGGCCGGGAATCACGTTAGCAGTTCCATTAGCACTACCTTGGGATTTCTTTCCCAGAACCAAGTCAGTACTTGTCATATTCGTGTTCAAGTATGCGTGGACTCGGCAACTGAAAAGTTCGTCGCTGCCGCCACGCTTCGCTGAATGAAGTCCGGCCTTAATCGAGATGCAAGACAAGTAGTGCACTAGTTAAGCCATTTCCCTCCTCAGTTATCTCATTATATCTCATTGAAGCCCATAACCCCATAACTCTCTGACACTGGTACTAGTGGACCGGTCAAAACAATTGGTGCACTGAGCAAAGACCATATACGTAAATATCTCGTAACAATGACGAGTTGCAGTTATCGGGACACCTGCATTTTTTGCTACCCCACCGCCATGTCACTAACAAAAGAGTCTGGCGGAATCCAGACGGGTCTTCTAGCAGTTGTAAGTTTTTGGAACAACAACTTCCACTATGATTTACCGAAATAGCTGCCGTTAGATCATTATCTCTTCGCGACGAGAACTAAGTCACGGCGTCTGTCACGCTTGTCCTACAGATGATTCCAAGAATTTCTGCAACGTAGGCTTTGTCGACTTTGATGTGCTATTTCCGCCCTCAAACCTAGTGACCTCTCCATCTCATTCCACCCTCTCAGTTGTCTGTTCGACTATGCCCTCCCCTGAAGCGGCCCGGAGCAAAGCCCGCCTTCTTCTGGTATCCAACCGTCTTCCCATCACCATTAAGCGCTCTGACGATGGCAAGTATGACTTTTCCATGTCATCAGGAGGTCTGGTGAGCGGCCTCAGCGGTCTCTCCAAATCTACTACATTCCAGTGGTATGGGTGGCCGGGTCTGGAGGTGCCCGAGCCCGAAGTTCCGGTGGTTAAGCAGCGCTTGAAAAATGAATATGGCGCGGTGCCGGTCTTCATAGATGAACACCTTGCAAATCGCCACTATAATGGCTTTTCTAGTAAGTGCTTGCAATTTCGATTGCCAGGTCTTATTTATACTAAGCAGCTTTCCTTGTTGCAGACTCCATCCTTTGGCCGCTCTTCCATTATCACCCCGGTGAAATGACATTCGACGAGTCCGCCTGGGAGGCATACAAAGAAGCCAACCGTCTTTTCGCCAAGGCTATGTCCAATGATGTTAGAGAGGGTGATTTGATCTGGGTGCATGACTACCACCTGATGCTACTGCCTGAAATGCTGCGCAGGGAATTTAGGGGCAGCAAGCAAAATGTCAAGATCGGGTTCTTCTTGCATACTCCTTTCCCTAGCAGTGAAATCTACCGTATCTTGCCTGTGCGTAATGAGCTTCTTTTGGGCATTTTGCATTCTGACCTTATCGGATTCCATACCTATGATTACACTCGTCATTTCTTGAGCAGTTGTTCGCGCTTGCTGTGAGTGAAATCGCGAAGGGCCATTATCCATGGAGCTAATACAAATAGTGGGCTTGTCACGGCACCAAACGGGATTGAGTTCCAAGGAAGAATTGTTACCTGCAGTGCTTTCCCGATCGGCATTGACCCCGAAAAGTTCAAAGAAGGTCTTAAAAAAGAATATGTCCAGAAGCGCATTGTGGCGCTGGAGCAAAAATTCGAGGCCATCAAACTCATCGTTGGCGTTGACCGTTTGGATTACATTAAGGGGGTGCCGCATAAGCTACATGCGCTAGAGGTCTTTTTAAGTGCCAACCCGGAGTGGATTGGCAAGGTCGTTCTGGTACAAGTCGCCGTACCAAGCCGACAAGATGTCGAAGAGTATCAAAACCTGCGTGCAGTGGTGAATGAGTTAGTTGGTCGCATCAACGGCAAGTTTGGCACCGTTGAATATATGCCTATCCACTTCCTTCACAGATCAGTTAATACTGATGAGCTCATTGCACTGTACGCCGTATCCGCTGCTTGCATCGTGTCTTCCACACGTGACGGAATGAATTTGGTGGCTTACGAGTACATCGCGTCTCAGCAGAAACGTCACGGTGTTTTGTGCCTGTCTGAGTTTGCAGGTGCTGCACAAAGTCTAAATGGCAGCATAATATTTAACCCTTGGAGCTCGGACGAACTGGCGAGTGCATATAGAGAAGCTGTCACTATGGATGATGAACAGCGCGCCTTTAGGTTCGCCAAGCTTGACAAATATGTTTCCAAGTATACCAGGTATGAGTGTTGATCTTGTCCAAGCTGTGAGGCGGCAGCTAATCTCATTTCCAGTGCATTTTGGGGCCAGTCCTTCGTCGCGGAGCTCACCCAAATTTCAACACCGCTCCGCCGATAGGTTACAACCTACAAAACTGGCCGTGGGCCTAGCAAGCAGGGCTGTTCCACTGTGCCTGGGCCTGCCGCATGATGATGTGTTTCGTTGCTTCAGACCTCAGAGAAAGCTTGTCGCTGTGGCAACGGTGTGAGAACGATGCACGGCCGTGCGATCGCTGCTAACTAGACCTCGCCACGACCCTGATATTGGGTCCCTCCTACCGACTGGCGACCCGGACCGACCCTCAGGGTCATAAAATCTCGTCAGGGTCACCCTGACTACGACCCAGACGGCCCTGGATTGCATAAAGTTTTGACGCCTTCCCTAATAAGGATGGATAATTTTGCTGACATGTACTCATAAATTACTGTTTCTTATACCTATTTTGTACGGCTACCCATGATTCCATTAATTTTCATCCACCCTCTATGTAACTATTTGAATTATGTCTTTTGAATAAGACTCCTGACTGGCTAATACTTAGCTGGCCCTCTTTTCTATCCAAAGGAACTTTTCTGGGGTATCTGATAGAGAGTTGGTGAAATTGGTGTGTAAGGATGCGGAAATATATTTTCGATGTGATAAGTAGTTGCACCACATTCCATAGAATTTGAACACTATGATGATGATGTTGATGTGATGATGTATTCATTTGCCCGATGTAGCTCGCTCTATATATATGCTGCTATGCGGGAGTGCTGTCAGGCCTGCCGACAGCTGAAAGGTGGTCACCAGCCCACTGGGCGACCGTCAGGGAACTCGCCTTGCGAATTTCTGATCAATCGTCCTCGAATCGAAAGATGTAAACCAAACAAAAGAAATGCACAGATGCAAACATGATAAACACAAAGCCGACTTGTACGTCATTTACCCCTGGTCGCGGGTAGGACCAGGGCCCCGCTTCAACACAGCATTTCCACGCCCTCTTCTCTTCACCTGTCCAGTCTTGTTGGCTGCCGCTTGCGCGCTCGCTTGGATCAAGGGAGTACAGTGGACCTGGCACTGTACTCCTAATGGGCGCCATCCTTCTTCTTCCGTCACACTGTCTAAGGGATCATTATCTCCGCTCCTTGGTCGTCCCCTTCCTCGCCCAGAGCCGTAGGGTCGACTGTCTGAAATTAGCCTAGGAGGCCAGTCTTGACCATGAATTCGGCCACAGCCGTGCGAGCCTCCGGTCGTGTCAGGAGTTCGTCTCGACTAAGAGTAATTCCCTTGTCGGAAAGAGCGCTTCTCATCCAGTCTCGCTCGTCCTGGTGCGAGGGGCATTCCAGCAGGACGTGTGTTACTGTTTGGCTGCCAAGATCGCAGTCACACCGCGCTGTTTCGCGTCGGTTGATACGATTCAGGTAAGCCCCTAGGCCAATTCGCCCAGTTCTAAGCTGCATCAGAATCGAGCCCGTTGCTTTTCGCAGGCCCGACCAGTATTCTAGCGTCTTCTTGGTTGGTGCTTCAATCAAGCGTTTTGTCGGTCGACTGGTCGTTTCCTTGGCCCACGTCCTGCCCCACTCCAGCTTCGCTTCTCTGCGGATTCGCCGTTTCGCTGCGGCTGCGAGACATATACCTCGATCGTGAGGGTTCTGTGGGCCGTCCGGTTTTTGGGCTGCTTCTTTTGCGTGTTGGTCCACAATCTCATTGCCAATGACCCCTTGGTGCGCAGGAATCCATCTGAGCTCAACTCGGACGCATCTGCCAGCAAGTCGCTGGATCAGGCCGAGGCATCCTGCTAAATAGACCTGTCCTGACGGCATCCCCGGTCGCCTCAGCGCCTTCAGCGCTGCTTGGCTGTCTACAAAGATGACTATCCCGTTCTTCGCCTGCTTAGCCCATGGCTCTGTGCTTTCCAGAACCATTTCAAGAGCCATCTCAATGGCTCGAAGTTCTGCCGCATATACGGTGGACGTATTATCGTCTCCCATCTGGCTGTGAACATGTTGATCCTCAAGGCCCACGACCGCTGCCGCTCCGATCTTTCCATCAATTCCGCTCCCATCAGTGTACAGAATCAAGGGTCTTGCTCCTGGGTCTTTCGTCAGGATTTGGTTGTGATTGTTAACCGCAGCTTCTCTGTCCTCGATGATCACCTCTGGTGGCGCTTGCCATGGTGCCAGGACGAATGCCTTTCGACTCTCCCATCCTCTTGTCAAAGTATTCAGGGGAGCCGTAAGACATCCGCCCGCCTTCCAAGCTTGCGCCTCCATTGGTGTCCATCCAGCCCAGTCTCTCTCATCTGCCGGTCGGCGACGTAACATCGTTGGTGGGACAGCGGACTCTGGTCCTGTTCGTAGTCGAAGGGCCGTTTCTTTCACCAGTCGGTTCATGTGAACAGAGATAGGCGGTAGGTGAAGCTCGGTATTCAGTGCTTCGGCTGCCGTACTTTTGAAAGCCCCACTGATCAGGCATGCTGCCTGTTTTTGTATTGCCGCGAAAGGCTGACTGATTGTGCGTGCTTTGTAATTACTGATGAGCGTAGGTTGATACCACGCGGAAACCCCAAAGAGCATCTGCGGGATGATCACCGCTTGGTAGATCTTCCGCATTGCATAGAGTGAGGCTCCCCACGTTGAACCCGCCAAGCTTCGTAGTGCGTGGAGAGAGACGCCGGCCTTGGTCACCGCTTTCTCGCGGTGATGGTGGAATTCCAGACCTGGATCCAGCCAATAGCCTAGGTACCGCTCAGCTGTCCTCGTCGCTGTCACGGTGTGCCCTCGTAGAGACAGCGATGTGTATTGTGGGTCGACTTCCCTGGTGTTTACAAAATGCACGAGTGCATACTTCTTCGGGTCAAAAACTGATGCATGTTTCTCGGCCCATTGGTCGGCTTTGCGGCATGCCGCTCTGAGTTTCTTGATGGTTTCGCGTTCGCTGTCACCCTTTGTCATGAAGCAAACATCGTCGACCCACCCGTTGCTATTCACACCGTTAGCGCAGTTCTCAACGAGGTCTGCGTTGTAGATGAGATATAGAATGAGTGAGATCGGTGATCCTTGAGGGATGCCTGTTGGCGTCGGGATTCGGCCGGATATACCCTCGGGCATACGGATTCTTGTGCTTCTATTGGTCAAGAAGGCCCTCACCCAGGGAACGAAATGTCCCAAGCGACGTTTTTGAGGTTGTGTAGTAGACGTTCATGGGAGACGTTGTCGTACGCTCCGGGCACGTCCAGCATCAGCAGAGATACCACTGGCTTGCCCTTTCCCCATGCGGTTTTGATTCGGTCGATGATGATGTGGATAGCATGATCGGTGGATATGCCCTTTCGTCCGCCTAGATGGCTACGTGGGAGCAAGCCATTGGTTTCTGCTGCGTAGCTGATCCGTCGCGCGACAACTGCCTCCAAAAACTTCCCGAGCGTGTTCAGCAACGCGACGGGTCTGAAAGATTTTGCGAGCTGGTAGTCGCTTTTGCCTTGCTTCCGGAGCACCACCGTGATTGAGCGCTGGAAATGTGACGGGTTGTAGCCCGTTTTTATGCATGCGTTGAATAACTGGACCACTGTTTCTAGAACCACCGGTATCTCGATAAGCTTGTGCCAGAGAGAGTTTGGTATACCGTCTTCTCCGGGTGCTTTCCCTGCTTTCGCTCCTCGCACCGCCTCCTGTATCTCCTGAGCGGTGACTGCTGGAAATTCGATCTGCTGTGGGTACTGGAATGAGTCTGTGTCGGATAGATCGGCTGGCGGCGGTTCGGGGAAGAAGGCAACCCGGAATGCCTCTGCTTTTCGTTCCACTGTTTCCGCGAGAGTTCCAGGTATTTGGGGATCTTGCATTTTCAGCGAAGGGGTGATACCCTTCTCGTAGGCCCCGTCTCGGTTCCTTGCCCATTTAGCCAATCGCCACATACCCTGTGGGCCATCTTCAACGACCTGCTGGACTCGGCGCCGGTGCGCTCTTGACAACGTTTTCTTGACGAGTCGCGTTTTCTTGTTGCGTGCTTCCGAGTAGCACATCCAGTCGTAGGGGTCTTTGGTCCTCGTGTGTTTGCGACGGAGGCGACGAACTTCTTTGACCGCAACTTTACACTCGTCGTCAAAGTCGGGGTTCGACCACGCGGATGGTTTTGCCCATGGGGTTGATTCCTCGATTGCTGACTGGATCACACCCATTAGCTCCTGGCATTTGGCTTCTATCCTCTGCGGATCTGCCTGGTATAAGCCTCCTGTCTGTAGACCTCCTTCGATCTTCTGGATAAGTTTCTGATCATCAGTTGCGCTCCAGTTTCTTCTCTTCTGCTGTACGGCGACTGGTGTAATAATATCCAGCACAGTTCTGATCGGGAAATGGTCGGATGCATGTTCGATGTCATCCGCTCTCTCGCAATTGATAAGCCTGCTGACAAGCTTGGATGTGATGAAGGTGAGGTCAATCACTGACGACTGATCGTTTCGAGACCAGGTAGGTCTGCCTTGTTGTGTCGTCAACTCGAGTTCCCATTCATTGGCGATTTCTAGGAGTTGCTTGGCCTCCTGATCGGCCCTGGTCCCTGTTCCTCCCCATCTCGGGTGATGCGCGTTCATATCTCCAAGGACGATGTGTTCTCCATGAGGTCGTTTTGACAGCTCATTTCTTAGATGTCTAAGGGTATTGTTGCCCGACCTATTGTATATGTTGTGTATGAAGAGATCTGTCCAGTCTCTGCCTTGATGAGCCTTTCTAAGTTTCAGTAACTGGTAGTCCTGTGAGACGAGTTGACACGACCAATGGCTCGGGTCAAGCCTTTTAGAGACAAACAGGCATACTCCCGGTTGGGAGAGATCCGAGGCTTGGACTTGATCATCCTGGCCTTGGGTTGATCCGTCAGCAGCTCCTTTTGGTGGGTAGATTAGCTGGAAAGTTGCCGTCGCTGGTTGGTGCGTTGTGTGTTGCATTTCGTTCTTCCATGGCTCCTGCACCGCGACGACGTCCGCCGCGAGGACATTTCTGTCTCTGAGGAACGTTGCCATCACTGGCCACGATTTGTGTACGTTGTATTGAAGAATCTCAAACGATTTCATTGATGAGTTTGTTCGTCATCGCTTCGTTCGC